GGACCACCCATGCCGCCTGGGAACCGGCGTCGCCGGGATCTGCCGCCGCCGGGGAATCACTGCTTTAGCCGTCTGGATCTGCTGCCGCTGCCCCACCTCGGTTCGAGTCTATTGCGAGCAACAGGTGTCCAGGAACGATACGCGGCCCCCAACCAGTTTTGCACGTCACATTCCTGATGACAAGGGCAGTTGGGGGATTTTTGAAAAAAGGAAGACAATCTGCTCTCGTTGACGGCAGGGAATCCTAACGGTTCTGACGCAGTGGCACTCGTGGAACGTAGAAACTTTTGATGGCACTCATGTACAGACTCATTTTTCAGTGGCTTCCATGGTATTGTGGAATCATTCAGTGGCACGCATGGAATTTTCTCATTTATTTGTTGTGTGCAACAACATATATAAGATTTCCAATTGGTGAACATGCAACAGGTTGCGGAAGTGCGGTGGAGTCGTGGAGAACTCTACACTACACCTCAAGACGTACGTGACCATCCAAACCTGTGCCGGCCTCAGTTCATGTAACTTATAGAGGTATACGTTTTGCGCTACTACAGATCTGCAATTATACGTACTCCTTATAACGTAACGATATAATAATCATTTCTCGAGCATCTGCTCACATGGGTTTGCATAGTTGCAAAGGTCACACGCTCTAGGTAGGTAAAAGCTGCCATGGGAGGCGCAGAAGAATCCAGTGTCCAACAGGTAGGGGCACAGACATAGAGCAGACAGTACGTACTGGAGTCACGGGCTGCTATAAAACAAAAGGGAAATGGCTGGCATTGCCAGAAACACCACGGCGCACGGTGCATATTAAGCATGCGTCCTCTCATTCCAACCCTCAGCTAAGCAGATGAACTGCGCGCCCGCGCCTCCTGGAAGAAATCCCCACAAAGTGATGTGGAAGCCTAAGGAGGCGAAGCCATCGTCGGTGCCGTCGATTCTTCTCTTTGCCGTCCTTGTTGCGGCTATCGTCGTCGCAACACCGGCAGCGGGCGACGGCGGCTACATCAACTACCAGGACATCGCAGGTAGGCCTGCGTGCCCACCAATCGGCAGCTGTGCCGCACAGGGTGCATCCTACACTGGTCGGCGTTGTAATCGTATTTACTACAATCCCGAGTGCTAGTTGCTACTAGCTAGTAAGATACATGTCGATTCATATATACACCGTCAGCTCGGTTTGGTTTTTATTGAAATAATATGTATGTCATGTCCCTAGTAAATTAATGATATGTACTTATAGGTTATTTTATGTTTGGATCTTCTTGGTTTATGATGAAGTATTCTGTGTTTATTGTTTGTAAAATGGTAAGCAGGAGACTTCTCGCTACAACAGAAAAGCTTTTTTTTAGAGGTGATTAGAATGGATTTTTAGATGCGGCTCTTCCACCCGCCTCTATCAATGACTATCAACTGTCCATACAAATTAATTTCTACAGACGAGGCCACACCCAACTACCTCATAAGATTGATTTCTAGAGGCAGACCAAAATCTAGTTACCTCTAGAAATCGTTTTACACAATTTGCAAATCGGGACAATAAAAACAGCAAAAAAAAAGTTTACCCCGAGAGAAACTTAATAGGCAACCTTTGTGGTCACAAGTCGGAAGTCACAAGTCCAGCGATGTTTCACTTGTTCCTTCCTTACAACTTCACCCTAAAGTCACTTATGACCAAGTGGCTGATACAATCCTTTTGTATCCATTAGCAAATACTGTAATGAATACATTAATTATTACACAGATGATTTTAGGAGACTACAAAGGCGGTCAGAAAATGTCCCTGACTCCAAAGTTGCAAACGGTTTTTAGAGACAATATGCCTATTTATTGAGACACACAATAAATTGTCTCTTAAAATGTACTCCCTGCGTTCCAATTTATAGCTCATTTTGGGTTTTCTAGGTACACAACTTCTATTATGTACTACATTTGTCCCAAAAAGAATGCAACTACGTGTTACTTATCCGTTAAAGTCATTCACGTTTGACCAAGTTTCGAGTTAATGGTATTCATATTTATGGCTCCAAATCAATTTGTTATAAAAATACATTTCGTAACTAATCTAGTGATATTTATTTGATATTATAAATATTGATATTTTTTTATCTATAATTGGTCAAATTTAAGATACTAAAATATGACACTGTGCTAGAACATTCTTTCTGGGGCGGAGAGATTATCTAGACATATCATATAGCTAGGTGTATAGCAACAAAAGCTATATATCTAGAAAAACCTAAACGACATATAATTAATTTAGGATAGATGGTAGTATTAACAGGCCCCCGCTAACTAGCCCGTCTCAGCTCTTAACACGCCTCAAGACTATATAAGATATAGAAGCCCTAACCTGCTAACTTCTCTCTCACATGTCTCCCGCCTTCAACCCCCCCCTCTCTCTAACTCCCTACCCCATAAGCAGTCATTGCCGACACTGACACCTCAATTTCGTTGACACTTCCCCCTCTCTTCTTACTTCCCCTCCACAACAATCCCCCTCCTTGACTCCCCTCTCGGCCAGTTAGTTGCGCGCATCTCTCTGTTTCTCATCCCTCCTCACGACGTGCTCAGGCCATGGCCCCCTGCTGAGGTTGGATGTGCCTCTTTAACAGGATTTTTGTTGTGGCTTCTCGATAAGCTTAATTAAAACTCCTATCAAACGACCACACACACAAACTGTTTTTGAAGCCAAAAACAAGTCAAAAATAAAGTGAAGCCGGAGCCATCAAAACATGACTTTTTCTGGCTTCTCTCTTCTTGGAAAAGCTCAAGCCTTACTAATATATACACTACACCCACCAAGACGAATGGAAAAGGATGCTCCCGCGAGCGGATTCCTCCACCTCCGTCCAAGCTGAGGCGGTGGCTAAGACAAGAACGGATCGCCTACCTGCCTACCTCACATACAAGAAGCTCGAGCTAATGTTACCTAGAGTTAGGGGGTGCAAATGGTACATATATTTTTCAACCGTATTCGAGTCGGAATCTGTTTAGGCCCGTTCACTGGTCTGAATCTTGGCTGAAACTGGTTGAAAACACTGTTCCGGCTGAATTGTTGGGAGAGAAAAACATTGTTCTAGCTGAAAAAACAAGCCGAATATGGGGTAAGCCGAACGGGGCCTTAGAGTTTAGATCCATCCGTATTCGAGTCCGGATTTAACATCCAATACTGTCGATATCTATTCATATCATATCCAACATAGTTGATATACTATCCGTATTCGAATCCGAATCCAAATAAAAATATAAAATAACAAATATAATATCAGCGATATCTATTCGTATCTGACACATTTGCACCCCAACCTAGAGTGAGTCCCCGGATGGTCTTTAGACACCTTTACCAAAGAGATGTACCACTTGCACAAGGACGTAGGGTATGTTTGGTTGAGACCCTGGGTCTCTTTTGGCTAGGAGGCAGCCTGGAAGCTGACTGGATGCCGTTTGGATGCTATCCTGGAACGTTGCCTTCACCAGGCAATGCTTCGAAGTCCAGGCGAGCAAATTTGTATGCCTGGGTGCACCTGGTTTGCCTGGCTTCGTCTACCAAAGTACTATACTATTTTTAATGTTGCTTAGAAACCGTTACTGATACTACTAAAAGAGTTACTGTGTTACCGCTAAAAATATTTCCTATCCGACGAGACATTAAATTGCTACTTCTCCTCTCATTGATATCATTGTATATTTTATAGTTTATGTTATGATTTTTCTATTACTTATTTAAATCATTTATTTGTCTTCAAGTGTTATTTAAACAGCATATATTATATTTTTATTGGACAAGAAAGCAGACTTTATTTACACATTAGTTTTCTTAGACCCAGGCACCAACCAAATACCTCTTCTTTACACTTACGGCAAATATCATCAACTTTTTAGGCAACTCTCAGGCACCACTTTTTGCCAGACAAGTTATCGAGGTCTCCAACCAAACAGGCCAGTACTCTCTCGTTCTAAATTATAAGACGTTTTAGATTTTTAGATACATTGTTTTTATTATATATCTAGACATAGTATTTATCTAAGTGTTGAAAAAATTAAAACATCTTAAAATTTATAATAAAGAAAGTGTTTAGAAAGTAAAACAATAGTTTGCTCCAGGGAGGGTAAAAATGTTGGTGCATTTTTGTGGGGAAAATTGAGGTTGTATTTGGTTGGTTAGTTACTGGCTCATCTCCTCTTTGCATCCTTCTATATTGATAGAAACATAAATAGAGATTTTGGTAAAAGAAGTTCTCTTACGGCTTTTTTAATTAGATCTTTAAATATTATCGTCATTTGTTTTAGTCCTCGCTAACCAAAGACGAAAGCGAGGATGGCTTTCCAAAATACACATAAGTTATAGAAAAACTGTTAAAAAGTGAAAAGATATTGATAATCTTTTTTCTTAAAATGACTCTCCAAAGGATTAGTGGGTGAATTTAAGAAGGCTACTGCTCACGAATCTGCAGTTCTTTATTGGGCCACGTCGCCTCCGTTGGATAAGACTAAGAGCTTGATCGAGCCATCCGTCTCAGTCCCGGCCGCCTCTGGCCTCTTGGCATGGCCCACAGCCCGCCGCACCGCTCGCGCCTCTCTCCGCCATCTACCTCGCCGGTCCCTGACTCCCTCCACGGCGACAGCCTCGCGGTATTGCCATTTACCTCGTGGCCAAGTAGCAGCGAGGCGGCAGCAAGGTCACCACGTGGCATCGTATCTGGCGCCAAAGATCATACTATTCCTGCCCTGTTCGCTTCAACTGAAAGAGAGCCACGGACCGTTGCAACTCCATCACCAGTGCCGCTAGGCTCCGGCCTCCCCAGCTCTTGGTCAGCTGGTCTCACCGTCCCCCTCCTCCTGCGAGCTGCCAGCGGCTCCTCTTGAATTTTGGCATCTTCTTCATCTGAGTTTAATGGGCCTCGATTAAAGCAAGTGCAAGGGACCGTGTTTCATAATAAGAGTCAGAATCGGCCGCTGGGGGGGTTCTCCAATCCATCCAGCCGAGAAAAAAAATGCGGAGCGAGGGAGTCGAATCGACGACAGCGAAGAGTTCCTCCGGCTCCGAGGGCGGAAGCAAAGGGAACCTCCCGCCGGCGAATTCCTCCGCGCCCATCCAAGCTGAGGCGGTGGCTCTGTCCAAGAAAACGCAGGGGAAGAACAAGAAGAAGGTGAGGATGACACAGGAACAGATCGACAGCTACCTCTCATACAAGAAGCCGGAGCCAATGTTACCTGTAGTGTGTCCTCGCGCGGTCTTCGATGCCTTTCCTCAAGAGATGTTGGACCGCTTGTCCAAGGAGACACTAGCTAGGTGTCTCGCTATAGATCCAAATAGCACCAACCGGATAATTGTCAAAAGTAACGCGGAGGACAACTATGATGCAATGGAAGCAGAGGACGTCCGGAGACAGTACGAGGAGAAAGGATATGTCGAATACGAGGTCACTGACGACGACAAGGAAGAAGACACTCCTGTTGCTCCTCGTGCTACAGCTCCATCTCAAGTCTACCCTGCTGCTGGACGGAGATGACGTCGGCCTGGGGTTGCAAGGAAGTCTGGAACAACAAAGAGGCTCAATTGAATGAGCTACCTGCTTCCTTCTAAACTCAAATAAGACACGAACCAGTATGGTGTGTATGATTATGTTCTTTCTTCAACTTGTTTTTTCATATATATTCCTATAGGGATCCCTTTTATCCATCAATCAGATGGTTTGTGCCGACACTCAAATTGGACCAAAGCCAATTTAAATAGGCTCATTACAGTTTTGGCCTAATCTAATGAAAATTTCATAAAATGACATGATAATAGTACCACATTAGGGTTTTTTTATAAGACCACCCCTACCCCTTATAAAATAAGGGGTACATGGCCGATTGAGTATCCATCTATCCAATCATCAAACAAATCAATTTACTACCAATACTCCAACCTTTTTTCCCTCTTCTCTAACCCCCATGATGTTTATCCCTTGATCCAACGACCAAGGATAGCGCCATAGGCTTGTCGTCCGACCTAGGGCAACCCGACGACGTCCTTGCCCTGACGGGGTCCCTCCCGGGCGAGAGCTTCGACAGTTTCTTTACTAGTTTGTCTGAAAACTAGCCGGTTCTTCGTCACGTAAGCACATTGGTTATCCTTTGGTGGTTTGCTTGTAAACCTCTCCGTTCTTCACCATGAAAGAGTGACATCCTCGTTGCGTTCTTCGGTCCGTAGCGGCCCGGGCATCTAAGGCTCTATTGGTGTTTGATTCGGATCACTTCCGACGTCAACACATTTTTGGCGACTCCGCTAAGGACGATTGGTTCGGCTATCTCTTATAGCCAATCTCTCTGACCTAGCCTTACTCCTCGTTGATCTATCTTCTTGAGCTCGCCATTACCGTTGCATCTGGCCCAAAAGGCCGATCGCATCTGGTTTTGACCCCTTGTGATCTTGTTTCCGATTTTGCAATAAGTTGCGCTGCTTATCGGAAAATTCAGCAAGGCGGTCAAGTTATAAATCATGGAGTACTAAGGTGTTGCATCACAATATTACTACAATCACCCTGAGGTACAACTTGCAAATGCATCTTATGATCCCAATAGTTATTTTGCAAGTTATCAGTGCAGAAAGTGACCAACACGTAAATATTTATAGTTTTGTCGTACGTTATGATCAGATATGGCCTAGCACTCAATGACACAGGGTTTATTTTGGTTCAGGCAATGAGCCCTACGTCCAGTTTGAGTTGGTCGGTGACTTTATTCCTGAGCCTAGGTGCTCGAAGTTTGTTGTGGGGTTACAAACGGAAGGGAGTAAGATAGGGGTGCAAGAGGTCCGGTCGGACTCTGGTCTGAAGGGCCGAGAGTGACGGGAGCTCCACTATGTGCTGAGTGTTTGAGCGTGCGCTCTGTGTAGCTTTAGAGTGTCTAAAGCTAGCAGAGGGTGAATCGATGTGAGTGAACTAAGGGATCTCCCCTGTTGGGAGAGAGCGCACCCCCTTTTATAGATAAAGGGGACGGCCTTACAAGAGAGAGAGAGTACGTATGCTACTAAGTCTTGTCGCTCACGCCATCGGGTACAAGATGATGATAGGCGCCCACAATACTATTTGTGTCAGACGTATGTGGGAGGTTTTACCGTATTCACTATACATGGTAAATGACGGTGCCTACAACACTGTTGATTCCCAGAGCCATGTGGGGGGTTTAACCGTGTTTGCCTGGTGTGGGAATTGATGGTGCCCATAACACTAGTGGTAAAATGTCGGCACCCACAACACTGCTTGGGTTCTGACATGCCTGGAAGGTTGCAGGGCACCCTTCTGACATGTTCTATCGGTTACTGTCCTACGGGTGTGCAGGGTACGGTCCTCGGTATTGCGGTTGACTTGAGTGCCCTGCCTTACTTGCTCCGTCCATCTCCTAAGTCCTCACCAAGCGGGTGTCCCCGGTCAGTTAGTCCCGGTCTTCTCCGACTGCGCCAGTCGGAGAAGAGCTATAAGCAGAGGTTCGGTGTATCCCCGGTCAGAGTCAGAAGCGGCATGGGACAGGCCTTCTGGTCGGAGAGGCGAGCTGGAGTTGGAAGCGAGCGCCGTTCCTCCTCGGCCAGGCCTTCTGGTCGGAGAGGCGGGCAGGAATCGAAAGTGGGGATCGTCCTTCTGGCCTGTCGTTAGGTATTTGGGCCAGCCTAGGAGTTTGCGCATCGTTCGCAACGTCGCCTGTGGGCTGAGCTTTTGTTGGGAAGCCGTTTCATAAGGGACCCTGGGTTTATGAACCCGACAAGAGCCCCCAAGCCCCCGGACGATTCGGGTAGAATCGTCTGGGGGATTTTTTTCAACTTGACGGCGGGTGTGCGCGAGCGCACCCACGGGTGTAGCCCCTGAGACCTCGGGCGATTTGGCTAAGAATCGTCTGGGAGTATTTTGTCTTGACGGCGGGGGAATTTTTTGTTTGACAGCGGGTGCGCGCGAGCGCACCCGAGGGTGTAGCCCCCGAGCCCGCATGCGATTCAAGTAGAATCGCCTGGGGGGTTTTGTCAGCAGGCATTTTTAGGGATCGGGCAAGATAGACTCATAGATCCAGGCATCGGGTGCAGCCAAGGCGGTTTAGGGATGGGGCGAGGCAGACTCGCGGATCTAGACGTCGGGTGCAGCCGAGGTGGTTTAGGGATTGGGCGAGATAGACTCGCGGATCTAGGCGTCGGGCGTAGCCAAAGCAGTTTTTAGGGATCGGGCGAGACAGACTCGTGGATCCTGGCATCGGGCGTAGCCGAGGCCATTTAGCGATCGGGTGAGACAGACTCGCGGATCCTGGCGTCGGGCGCGGCCGAGGCATTTTTAGGAATTGGGCGAGACGGACTCGTGGATCCTGGCATCGGGTGCAGCCGAGGCCATTTAGTGATCGGGCGAGACAGACTCATGGATCCTGGCGTTGGGCGCAGCCGAGGCATTTTTAGGGATCGGGCGAGATGGACTCATGGATCCTGGCATCGGGCGCAGCCGAGGCCATTTAGCGATCGGGCGAGACAAACTCGTGAATCCGGGCATCGGGCTCAGTCGAGGCATTTTTATGGATTGGGTGAGACAGACTCGCAGATCTTGGCGTCGGGCACAGCCGAGGCGGTTTAGGGATAGGGCGAGATGGACTCATGGATCCAGGCATCGGGTGCAACCAAGGCAGTTTAGGGATCGAGCGAGATAGACTCGCGGATCCTGGCATCAGGAGCAGCCAAGGCCGTTTAGGGATCAGGTGAGACGGACTCGCGGATCCTGGCATCGGGCGTAGCTGAGGCAGTTTTTAGGGATCGGGGGCGAGACGGACTCGTGGATCCTAGCGTCGGGCGCAGCCGAGGCTGTTTAGGGATCGGGCGAGACAGACTCACAGATCCTGGCATCGGGCGTAGCCGAGGCCATTTAGGGATCGGACGAGACGAACTCACGGATCCTAGCGTCGGGCGTAGCCGAGGTGGTTTAGGGATCGGGAGAGACGGACTCACGTATCTAGGCATCGGGCGCAGTCGAGGTGGTTTTTAGTGATCGGGCGAGACAGACTCACGGATCCTAGAGTCGGGCGCAGCTGAGGCCGTTTAGCGATCGGGCGAGACAGACTCACGGATCCTGGCGTCGGGCGTAGCCGAGGCATTTTTAGGGATCGAGAGAGACGGACTCGTGAATCTTGGTGTCGGGTGCAGCCGAGGCCATTTAGGGGTCGGGCGAGATGGACTCGCGGATTCTGGCGTCGGGCGTAGCTGAGGCAGTTTTTAGGGATCGGGGGCTAGACGGACTAGTGGAGCCTGGCATCGGGCGTAGCCAAGGCCGTTTAGGGATCAAGCGAGACGGACTCATGGATCCTGGTGTCGGCGCAGCCGAGGCCGTTTAGGGATCGGGCGAGATGGACTCGCGGATCCTGGCGTCGGGCACATTCGAGGTAGTTTTTAGGGATCGGGGACGAGACGAACTCGCGGATCCTGGCGTCGGGCGCAGCCGAGGCAGTTTTTAGGGATTGGGCGAGATGGACTCCTGGATCCAGGCCTCGGGTGCAGACGAGGCGGTTTAGGGATCGGGCGAGATGGACTCTCGGATCCTGGCGTTGGGCGCAGCGGAGGCCATTTAGGGATTGGGTGAGACGAACTCACGGATCCTGGCGTCGGGCGCAATCGAGGCTGTTTTTAGGGATCGGTTGTGAGACGGACTCGTGGATCCTGGCATTGGGCGTAGCCGATCAGTGTTTAGGGATCAGGGGCGAGACGGACTCGCGGATCCTAGCGTCGGGCGCAGCCGAGGTAGTTTTTAGGGATCGGGGGAGAGACAGACCGCGAATCCTGGCGTCGGGCGCAGCCCAGGCAGTTTTTAGGGATTGGGTGAGATTGACTCGTAGATCCAGGCATCGGGAATAGCCAAGGTGGTTTAGGGATCGGACGAGATGGACTCGGGGATCCAAGCATCGGGTGCAGCTGAGGCGGTTTAGGGATCGGGCGAGACGGACTCGCGGATCCAGGCATCGGGCGCAGCGGAGGCGGTTTTTAGGTATCGAGCAAGACGGACTCACGGATCCTAGCGTCGGGCGCAGCCAAGGCCGTTTAGCAATCGGGCGAGACAGACTCGAGGATCCTAGCGTCAGGCGCAGCCGAGGCATTTTTAGGGATCAGATGAGATGGACTCACGGATCCTGGCGTCGGGCGCAGCCGAGGCCGTTTAGATATCAGGCGAGATAGACTCGAGGATCCTGGCGTCGGGCACAGCCGAGGTCGTTTAGTGATCGGGTGAGACAGACTCCTGGATCCTGGCGTCGGGCGCAGCCGAGGTCATTTAGCGATCAGGCGAGACAGACTCGAGGATCCTAGCGTTGGGCGCAGCTGAGGCCGTTTAGCGATCGGGCAAGACAGACTCGAGGATCCTAGCGTCAGGCATAGTCGAGGCCATTTAGGGATTGGGTGAGATGGACTCGCGGATCCTGGCATCGGGCGCAGCCGAGGTCGTTTAGCGATCGGGCGAGAGGGACTCGCGGATCCTGGCGTCGGGTGCAGTCGAGGCATTTTTAGGGATCG